GGTTCTGGGTATTTCCTGGTATGCTTCCTTAGTGATCTGCTCATTCTTCCATTGCATGTATGCTTTCCTTTTGCATTTGAGACATTTTAGAAGATCCTTGTGCAGCCACATAGGTCTCTTGCCATTCTTCTTGTGCTTCCATCATGTTTGGACAGTTTCTTGTCAGGCTTCCAATACTATGCCCCTTAGAAGCTCCCAGCTCTCCTGAGCACCTTTATCTTTCATTTTCTGTTCCCATAACAATGCCCATTAGCTCCTTGAGTCAGATGAAATCCACCTTGTTGAAATCTAGTGTCCTATTTTTGGCAACCTCATGCTTTCCCTGTCTCAGGATCTGAAAATCTATTGTACCATGATCGCGTCCTCCAAAGTTACCCATCACCTTCACATCCTCCACCATTTGTTCCATGTTGGTCAGGACAAGGTCCAAGATGCATGATTCCCTAGCTCTATCCTCCATTTCCTGGAACAGAAAGTTGTCCTCCACACAAGTTAGAAACAGGCTTAGCATTTTATGTGTAGCTGTATTGTTCTTCCAGCAGCTATCTGGAAAATCGAAGTCTCCCATCAGTACCATCCCATAGCTTTTGGATAGATTTTGTCAACTGCTTGAAGAGTATCTCATCCACCTCCTCTTTCTGATCACGTGATCTATTAAAAGCTCCCACCATTATGTAAGTGCCACATCTTTCACTTTTAATCTTCATCCAAATGCAATCGGCTTTGCTGTCTTCTTCCTCCTGAACCAGGGAACAAGTGCATGCGTTTCTGACATACAAGGAAACTCCACCACCTTTTCTCCCAACCCCGTCCTTCCAAAACAGAGTGTAACCCTCCATGTTGACATTCCAGTCATAACGACTGCCCCACCAAGTCTCTGTAATGCTAAACATGATAGTATTTTTTTTCACAGGATGCAGCTTCCAACTCATCTTGTTTACTCCCCATAGTCCTTCTTCCCCACCCAGATAAGGTGCAGGGGGCATCCCCGGCTGGGGCATGTGCAGTTGATCCCCTGTCCCTGGATGCACAGCAGGGCTGGGGCAACATGACAGCTGGACTCCCTTTCCAGCATAGATTTCATAGATAGATTTCATAGATTAAGGGTCAGAAGGGACCTAGTAGATCTTCTAGCCCGACCCCCTGCCAGGGCGGGAGAACAACAAAAAAACCCAAAAAGAGAAACGGGACTCAAATGAGTCCAGCCAGTCCAGCATCACACAGTGCAGGAGGGGGATGTAGGGGGGGAACAGGGATGTTGATCTGGCCTGTGACAGCTCATCAAAAGTCCCTAAGTGACTCTCCAACCCAAATAACTGCCCACCCCCGCATAAGGCAAACACCAATCAGCCATCCCAAATCACTAGCATAGAAAAAAAACCCTCTTCAAGTCAGTCCTACACCTGAACTGCTTATTCCAGAGCCACTGCTCTCTGCTTACTCTTCAGCTTGTGTGTGCTTGAACAATTTCTCTCGTCCTTTCATCTCCAGCAGATTCTCTGAGTACTGTTAAACCTTCCCACTAGAGAGAGAACTTTCTCCCTCACATCTTAAAGATATTTCCAAAAATGAAGTGAATGCTTCCTTTTCTTTGAAGTGTAGGTTGTTGCTACAACTAACCTCCAGCCAAATGTCTTAGCTTGGTCCCAAAATTAGATAATTTGATATGATGATCTAAAACTGTCACTTTTGTCTGCAGAGGGCAGTATAATCCAAAGAATACTGAACATTATCAGTCAAAGCACTCAGACTATTTGTTTCAATTACAACATCCACCAATTCAACTCCAGTTACACAACCCTTATTATATACAGATGACATAGTAAGTGGTCAGAGAGAAAAGTGTTTTTTATGTAATGGAAACTCATTAAAATTGATTCATAGTCCCTAAAATAAATTTCCTCTCGCACTTCAGGTTTCATAAGGAAATTTTTGCGCAGTAATCCCCAAATCAAGTATTTTATTTTACTTTTTTTATTTACCTAAGAATGTTTTAACAGACTCTAGTCAATAATACATGAAATTTCCAATTTCTTACACTGATTTCAAGAAGGAAAACCAGCTTTCAAAGCAATATGCACAGCTGATACAGAACTTCTGTCACTTCAATTCAATTTATTCTTGATTAAGGTTGTGAAATCTACTATTTATAATTAAACTTGAGACCAAAACAATATTCCCTAAACTCTAGTAAAGGGTTAATATCATTTTAAAATAAAAGAAACTGGGTAACACTATATTTTATTAGCACTTTGACTGCTAGAAGTGAAAGAAATTCAAAAAACACCTACACATTTATGTTCTATATATGTTTCTTATAGGGTGGAAATGAAAATAAAACTCAATTTGTTTTCATTTTCTTTCTATTTCAGTCTGGTTCTTTTATGTAATCACTCTGATTTCAATACTGTGGGGTACATTCCCCCTCCCCACCCTACCCCCTCACAAATCTCTGTATTTTCATTGGAATGTTTGAAAATGTGAAAATAGATCTTCTCACCAGGTTTTAGGGGCCTATTTATTTATTTTACAAAATGTAAACTTGTTTCCACAATAAAATTGATAAAAATCCTTTAAAAAATATTTTTTTGCTAGAAGGTGGAAAACGTAGTTCATCAGGAAATTACTCAAGATATATATTTTTTCGTCACCTTTATTCTATTTCAAAATTCTAAACTACTAAAGGAGAGAAATTCCTTGATATTGCAAGATGATAAATCAATTATGTCACCATTTATACTATCTACAATATACTGTGTGATATCATCAAGAGAAACAGCTGATAAAGTTAAAAACTATTGCCCAATGTAAACTAAGAAGGCAGGAAGTGAACGAACCAAGTGAGTATTTTGGCTCCAGTATTTCCAGTTCTGAGTACTATCCCTAATCTTGCGATAATGTGGGGGTTTTTTGTTTGTTTGTATTTTGAAGGCCCAGTTCCTGTGATAATACGATGATCTCAATCTTAGATTTTTAAAAAGGACAAAAAAACCAACCCAGCTATTTTTTTTTTAAATTGCACTACTTCTGTTTCAAGAGAGAAGTTTGAAACTGTAGCCTATGTTCAACTTTAAAGCTCAGAAAACAAAGCAAATAAAAATGAGCCAATATATAGCTAAAATAATGGAAATTAAAAATATATCTCAGGATCTGTCAGGAGCTAACTCATACATTTGATCACAGGGTAAGCAGTATCACTTGTCTAACTAAGTGAGATGTACTGAGAATCTGCTTGTAGATGAAACAATACCCCAAAGACAGAGAGGATATCCGCTGGCATTAAAGGGCAAGATATTTAAAACTGATCACTAGAACATGCTCTGTAAGAAGCCACGTGATTTAATAAAGCAAATAGCTTGGTAAAAGATACCTGATTTTTACATCTATGCATGGGGACTAAGATGGAGATGAGGGAGAATTGTGTGTTTTTGACCTGATTGTTTAACCCACAAAAAGCCAAACCAAATAGCAGCTGCTGCACTGGAGGAAATTACACAATTATTCCATCACTTCGGGAGTGCATGCTCACTTACAAAATCAAAAGGGACAGAGGAAAAGGCCGGGCCTTGACTTTGCTCCTATAACACATTGACCAGTTGCAGAAGAAAAAAGAAAGCTGAGAGCACACACTCTGGGCAGCCCTGGTGAGCTCTGGAAAGCAGTCAGATACTGAGAAAGAATATTACGGGTTGTTCCTCTAGACTGAAAGCAGCTCCAGGTCCACACCTTAACAAGGGCTGCTCTTAACTGGGACAATCAAGCCAAAGATTCCCAAGTAGGAAGGATGATGGCATAAATGAGAATAGATCAGGAGCTGGCAACCCTTATAAGCAACAGGCCAGAACAGCCCCAGCCCAGCATGGGTGGCTTCACAGCAGAGGGGTTTGGCTGCATCCTCATTGGGGCCAGGTGCTGGTGCCATTTCTCCCAGCCCCCTTCCTGCTCCCTGGCTGGGGTGTGAAGGCAGCTTCCAGCAAGTGGGGATCTAAGCTGAATAAGTCATCCATCAAGTGGTTAAAATAATGTTGGTCTCCTACAGACATGCAGCGAGACTACTCCAACGTGCTGTAAATTCAGTGTCAGAACGGACTTGATTAATCGAGTCTGCTGGAGCACTGAAATTAACATGCTCGAGCAGCCTTGAGTGGCACATGTATCAGTGTCCACGTGCTGAAAAATGGTGGTGGGGTGCTCTGAATTAAAGCTGGTTTGATGGGGTTTAGTTCAAAGCACCCCACCACCATTTTTCAGGGCGGGCATGCTGATACACATGATGCTCAGGCGCTTTTAATTAGAGCGGCTTACTAATTAAAGCACTCACCCCCACCTCCCAGAGCATGTCTATCTATAAACGCCATTAAAGCCATGCTCCGTTAATGCTGTTGGACACAATGCTAGAACTTTCCACAGTTGTAAGCACTAGGCTCTGTAGTGTTACCAGGAGAAGGCATGAATAAATAGTGCAAAAACATGTCAAAGGTAATAAACATTTAGCTAGGGAATTTTCACGTAATCTACATTCAGAACTTGCTGTCTGAAACAGAGCAGGCTCCCTCTGCAACCCTGGATTTCTTTCCCACTCAAAATTAAAATCTAGGGTTTTGGTGGCTCATTAAAAAAAAACTGCCTATGTGCCTTCATCCAATGTTATTTCCTTCCACAAATCTATTATCCACCTTCCTGCCTGTTTTAGAACCAGTGTAAATATTAAGATTACAGTATTATAAACACCTCTGGACTGATAGAAATATTTAGAAAGTGGAATGCATACAATAATCACTGTATCATCACTCAAAAGGATAGTTACTTTAACAAATACACATTAGAAACCCCCTGCTACTTGAGTTTTTAAGTGGCATCTAGTATTTACAATTCTATACTGATAAATGAATATAACCGCCTTCTTCTAATTAGAGAAAAGAAAATGTTCAGTTCATAGCAGCTCACAGTTTATACTTTCATGAATTGATAGGTAGAGTATGGACATTTAATGAACCCACCTGCAACAGCCATGTCTACTTCATCTTCATCCACAGATTCCTGAGTCATAAAGTCTGCCAGAGGGGATAGTGGGTAGCTGGAGTTGAGGTTCAAGCCCAGCATGAAGTTGTGCACTTTCCCAGCACGCCCTTCCCTGGTGTTGAAAAGGGTACTATCTCCCACCAAGGCCCTGAACATGCGCTGCTTCCAGCTTTCTTGACAGCTATTTTCATGTTCTTTGTCAGCATCAGGATTTTCAGTACCTGTATGTTGAGAAGGACCACCATTAACATGCAAAGCTATCAAATGAAGTCACAGAGACCACACTCTAATAAAACTGAAAGGAGCCTCTCTGGGGTCCAATGCCTGAACTGAAAATAGGGTCTAGGTAAAGCAGGTATGGCAAACTCACCCTGCCCCACAGAGCTGGATTGGGCTGGGGCTACTGCATTCTGCATGCAGCATGTGGAGGCTGGTCCAGGGTGCATGCTGTACGTGGCCCCTGTACTAGACCAGCCCTATGCACTAGACCTGGCATTCAAGGCTGGTTTGTGGGCCTGATCCAAACCAGTCCAGGATACAGTGTGTAGGGCTGGTGATGTGAAGGCATCTCATGCATCTTGTGCTCCAGACTGAGCCCACGCACTGCACACGGCAGCTCCAGCCCCACCTCCATGTGTAGCACATGCCAGATGGGCTCTGTACACTGCGTGCAGCATGTGGGGCCAGGGCCAGTGCATGCTGCATCCAGTGGGCCAGTCTGAGACCCACAGACACAGGGCAGATGATAGGCTCTGCAGGCCATATCTGGCCCACAAACTAGCTCTTTGATACCCTTGATGTAAAACATTTATGAGGAGCTGAAGGAATCCCTGCTCTGGAGCAACTGTGTACTTCCCTGATACTACTATAGCACCATAGAATCATAGAAAGTTAGGGTTGGAAGGGACCTCAGGAGGCAATCCCCTGCTCAAAGCAGGACCATCTCCAACTAGATCATCCCAGCCAAAGCTTTGTCTAGCCAGGTCTTGAAAACTTCCAAGGATGGAGATTCCACCACCTCCCCGGGTAACTTATTCCAGTGTTTTACTGTCCTCCTAGTGAGAAATTCTTCCTAATATCTAACCTAAACTTCCCTCGATGTAACCTGAGGCTGTTGCTCCGTGTTCTGTCATCTGCCACAAATGAGAACAATCTAGCTCCATCCTCTTTTGAACCCCCCTTCAGGTAGTTGAAGGTGGCTATTAAGTCCCCTCTCAGTCCCCTCTTCTGTAGACTAAATAAGCCCAGATCCCTCAGTCTTTTCTCATAAGTCATGTCCCCTAGCCACCTCACCATTTTTGTTGCCCTCCACTGGACTCTCTCCAATATGTCCACATCCTTTCTGTAGTGGGAGGCCCAAAACTGAACACAGTACTCCAAATGTGGCCTCACCAGTGCTGAATAGAGGGAAATAATCACTTCCCTTGACCTACTAGCAACACACCTAGCAATGCAGCCCAATATGTCATTAGCCAACCACTGTGGTAGCAGCTAGGATCCCTGGCATTGTTGGTAGGATGTGAAGCCTGTGTACCTGTTGTATGGAAGTGTCAGATTACGGATATACAAGACATTTATTCCAGTGCAATTTACACTGGAGCAGACACAATGTGCAGCTGTACAAGGGTGTCAGTAACTCTGGGTAAAACTGCCCATAAAAGTCAGAAGCAACTGTACACCAGTATAAGTTACACCAGTTTGCACACCGTTACCACAGCTCTATTCAATTTTATCTGGAATGCCTATTTCCTTAATAGCTGAGATACCGTAATAGCACTACGGTGCACAGCTATCTCAGGAGAGCAGGTTGTCTGTTTAGTCCAGACACTATGTAACTGACTTATTTAGAAGACGATGTCAATTTCACTAACATAAATGTTCTGTGGGTTCCCATCCAACATGGCCTCTCTGTGGCATTCTACCTGCACCATACTCCCAGCCCTGAGACTTCATACAAATTCCTGCTGAGCCTGGAAAGGTGGAAGAAAACATGGTACTGTTGTATTTACGGACCCACTGTGCCTAGTGAGATCAGAAATGTGTAGATTCAATGCTATGTGAGTTCACATTTAGATATTGGCAAGACCCAAGTGCTCAGTATCACAAATCAAACTATTTAAGCTACCTAGGTCATTGCAAATAATGGGGTTTTTTTCATTGGATGAACAACAGCAAACTGTGCAGGAAAATGGGTTTCTAGTGGTCATCATAACACTTTCCTCATACAGAGGAAATATGCAAATTAATAGTAACAAGAACAAATTGCTCTTTCTTCCTCCCCTGTTACGAAGGGAAATAAAGAGTTATTTGATTTAAAGGGGATTTTTCCTCCTTCAACCAAAAGAAAGGAACAACACTGCATTCTTCAAAACAATGGGCACTGATTCCTGGTTGTGCTGCCAACAAATTAAAGGTGCCTGTGAACAAATCGGTTCAACAAATTTAGCTTGCTGGCAAAGGACTTTATTGCCACATCCAGATGAGTGTGGCTGTGCAGTATGTGATGCCACACACCAGTCTGCAGTGCCATACACTACACATTCAGGCATATCCCATACTGCTACCTTGCAGCATGAGAGGGTTTTTTACCCTAGGAGATCCAGGGCTTTTTTTGACCCTGGGATTTCTGCACCACTATGTGCAGTGTGTGGCACTGCAGAAAGGTCTGCAGCATCACATACCATATGACCATGCTCATCTGGATATGACCATGAAGTTGGGATCTCTTGGGGTCAAAAACCCCACAAAGAATAAAAGAAGGGCAGTGCACCTGGCAGCAGCACATGCCACCCAAAACCGAAGCTGCACTCCAGCTGCTGGCCAGGCTCCCAGCTACAGGAACAATGTGGCTGCAGCTTCATCGGCCCTCTATACCCCAGGTTAGGCTCCTGGGGCCTGCAGAGCTATTGGCTCCAACCTCCCAAAGCCCACCCAGGGTAACCTGCTGCATGCCAGTGTGCTCATGACACGGGCATTCGCCAGGGGCAAATAGCAGTGGCATAAGATGTTCCACTGCTAGTTGTCCCCAGTAAAACAAATGTCCACACCTAACTGGACATGGCCTATGATGTTACTAGCTCAAGAACTCTTATTTTCTAGACACATATCATAGTACAGACCTCTATGAAGAGCACTGAAACAATACCTCTGGCTTACAGGGCTGATATTAAGCAAGGCATGAGTTTTTAAGAGATGATCATTTATTTATCAAGGATGATGACAAATAAAAGGCCTCTGTGAAATTTCTCATTCAGTGTCTCTATCACGCAGAGCTAAAGTCAAGGGATACGCTTTTTGAGGACTGCCGCCTCAAGCAGTAATTTTACCACTGGCTACAGGTGGAGCAAAACTATAAAGGGAAATGTAAGACAAGCAGGATTTAGCTCATTTGGGGGTATATACATAATATGATAGAAACACATGCTCCTGAACACTTATTCTTGTCATAACAATCATCTTTCTTTAGAAAGGAAAACTTACATTATGCACAGGGTAAGACAAGCATGCATAGTAAGGAAAGTATGCATTAGGATCTGTTTTTCCTTACCTTTTGGTTTCTGTGATTCATCTTCACTGTCTGAACTATCACTGCCCACAAGATGTTTTAGCCTAATATTTTCTGTTGAAAGAAAACCCACATTATCTTCAACTGTTGAATTGTCATTAAAAATGACCTCGAATTTCAAAATAATTCAAGGTGTATCATCATACAGTGCTTGTGATAGGACGTGAAAATTAACAAGGCACTTAAAATACCTTAATGCACGAGTGGCCAACCTGCAACGCATATGCCACAAGTGGCACAGCCAGCCTCTGTGCATCACACGTGGGAGATCAGAAAGGAAACAAGCAGCACAGTGGCAGATATGGAAAAAAGCATAAAGCAAAGCAGAAGAAGGGGCAGGGAGCAGAGGGCAGAAAAAATTGCAACAGATTGGGAAGGGGATTGGAGTGGCAATTGGGAAGGTTGCAGAGTTAATTTGTAGCCCACCTACCAAAAACGTTGTCTTAATGTATTATTGGACATAGCTGATAGAACTTTGTTTGGGATCTATTCATTCATTTCAAATGGAAAAGATCTAAAAATGATGACCCATTATGTTTTTTTGCCAATGTGACCAGTAAATTAGACTTACAATTCCTCTGGCCAGTTTATGCTCCTCTCAGGCCAAAAGCAAAAGTCCCATTGACTTCAATGGTGCAGGATGAAGCCCTTGATCTAACACTCTCACCATTTTTATTAAATTCACCACTTTTAGCTATAGAATGTTGTGTCCTTTTTAACAATATTTAAGCTTTAACCAGTAGGCTCCCCTTTCAAGACAGAAAATTCTCTGAAATAATTGGTTTGATTTTAAGTAGCACTGCTACAAGCATGTGTATTTCTCACCAATGGTGAAGTTACGTGCAACTGCTCACAGTACATTCTAACTTTAACACCTCTTAATATTCCACAAAACTAGTGTGATCTAAGTATAACATGTAACTTTACCCAACATTCATTGTAAGTTACACCTGCATGTACCAGAGTTGATTTCCCTATGGCTGCTAGCAAAATAATAAAATAAACTACATTGTGGTCCACTTAAGGGCAACTTTATGCAAGTAATTTTTAAAGAAAAAAGAGAGCAGTTAGGCCAAAATACTTAACACTGGTGGAAATGCAGCCATTTTATATTTTGTTCCGTTCATTGAGAGAGAGAGAGAGAGAGAGAGACAGAGAGAGAGAGAGAGAGGAGAGAGAGACAGAAAGAGAGACAGACAACAAATGAGAGGAGCAAATTTCAAGATAATTATTTACCCAGAATCTACCCTTTATTACAATAGCATCTTTGTGATGATTCTGGATAAAATTCAGGTTGAAATTGTTAAATATATGGCTAACTGGAAGATTTCCAGATCCTTAAAAAAAAAAATTAAAAAGTTAAGTATGAAATATTGATATGTTCCACTGTTGGTATATATAGTAAAGACAATGCGTATGTCTGAAACCACAGTGTAGCTAAGCAACATTGTTTTCTTTAAGTTTTCCTGCTTCTACATTTAAAGTATTCAAATATATTTAAAATAATCAAGGGAAGTTGCTCATGCAATACAATGGCTTTTCCTTTTTCATTGTCTTTTATTTTGCTTTAGCTGAATTGAAAGAAACTAGCTTTAAAAGCAATCTAGTATTGGAAACATTCTCAATTAAAAACATGGGCAATGTGTTGCAAGAAACAAACTTGCTAAGTTCACAGTCTTGGTTTAGATGTTAGGAGTTCAGCTGGGATTTTGAAAGCAGCCTAAGGAAATTAGACACAAAATACTAGTGTAGTTTAGTGAATAGGAACTAGTATCCAGCTCCTCCAGGGTCTTTTGCAAATGCCACCATTATACTCTCCCATGTCACCCTGAGATAATTTATATTGCTATTGGCCTCTACTAGGAATCTGAAGACAAGCATTAAGTTATTGAAGGTGAATAAGGATATTTTCAAACCAGTTTCACATACAATAGAATAGATATTATGAACACTGGTTTTATCTTTAAAAAAAAATCTACAGGTTGGTCACAAAACACCCTTTTCACACAAAGGCAATGCAAGAATTAAGCCTAGACAGTGAAATCTTATTTTAGAAGTTTTTTTTTCTATCAAGCTACCATCCAACCATACATAAATTAGCTGTAGACAAGTATTACTGTCACTGCTGATAAATCTGTTAGCTCAAAACAGACAATATGATTGAGGTACAGGTTAATATGAGGAATTTTTGCCTCAATGTATTATACGTGGAAGCCAATAATTATGCATCTACATAGATATTTACAGGGGCTATATCCATACAGACTTATAGGCCTATTAGACTACAAAAAAAGAGTACAGCTACAAGAGCTTTTATCTTTGCATCTTTTCCCTGAAATATTTTAATTCAATAGGTCCTCAAGACACTACCCAATCTCTCGTCAATGTACAAGTATGCAACAAAGACAAATGCGTACAAATTCCTGGGGGATGACAAAGAATATAAGTCAGGGTAAAAATTAACAACCTAAAAAGGCAACTATTAGATTCCAAAAATGTGATGTTGGATGTCCCCTATTTTTGTTTTAAAGGAACACCCACAAGAAATAGAATATTTAACTTTTAAAGATAGTTTATAATTTTCAGACAAAAGCTTGTTTACATTAAAGTCCATTAAAAATCAATAGGACCAGGACTTCACCAGTTAGTTTTAAGCTTGTGCAAGCATATGGTAATTTGTCAGTCCTACTAGGATAAACTGTCCCTTTGAGGGATTCTGTATTTCTGTAAAATTCTAATGAAAATGAAACATCTTAAACAAAAAATGTTTGTTTTCTAATAAAAAGTGAAGGGAGAGACATTTCCATATACAAAAAAATTAAACTGGGACAGTTTGTCCTCTTACTATCATAATTCAGGAAACATATTTTAAAGAAGAGTGCAAATAAGTCCTGTTCTAGCAAAGTCCTTAAGAAGAACACATAATTGTAAATGCATTTGCAATCCTATTGATTTCAGTAGAGACTCTTGTATGTAAGAATAAGCCTGTCCTGAAGTATTTAGCTGGACATAGCCTAAATTCCTAAGGTTCAATAACTTAAAAAACCTCCAATAGACAGACATCTGTATGAAGTGTAGGATGAATCCCCTCCCCCAAAAGCAGGTATTATTGCTCACAAAATATACAAGATAGAACCATAGAGACTGATTTCTTTAGTATATCCACAAACCTGGAGGAATGCAGAGGAGCTAATTTCCCTATGTTGTATAAGCAATATGTATGAGTTCAGGGAAAAGTGACAGTCGAGCTTTTACACCCATTCAGCCCTCATTTCTTCTCAAATTATTACAAGGACCATTAATTAGTCCAATTTATTTATTTGTTTAAATACTTTTGTGTGTGCACCTCATCCAAATTCTTGGATGCAGCACAGAAAGTAAAACTCAGTCCATTACCAAAGGATTAAAATAAATATCCTAAAATTTGGAGAAAATGTACACTATTGCAACCGTTTCCACATTCTCATTAAGAACTGAACAGCTAAACTTATTTCATATACACCATCATCCAGGTGAACCTGACATGGAATGGAACTGGCAACCAAGTAATGAAAAAGTTTACAGTAAACTCTGGTTATTTCACCACTCAAATGCAAATGCAAATAATGGCACATTATTGAGCAGTAGGTGATAGTGGAAAGGAAGGAGGCACATGGAGAATCAAAACAAAGTAGAATTAAACCTTACTATCAAATAAAACAGAGTTTTTTGTACTTTAAATTTGTAACTATATAAGTACCTCCTGACACAAGAGATTTGTTAACATAAGGCTAGCCTGTCAGCTTTTGGTTTCAGAAGTTGAGCATGTTAAATCTTGAAAGAATTTTTTAGATGTGTATTTATACAGTCATATGGCTTTGTGTGTTTGTTTGTTTAAAGTACACACACTTTATCCCTTTTCCAATAGTCTTGACATTGGTTAGAAGTAGGTATTGACGTACACTTCAGGCTAAAATAAGTAAAATGGGCTTTTGCTAATTCTCTTCCCCAGTTCTCCAAGTCCTTTCATAGCAATACCTTTCCCTGTTTTTTTCATATGCAAGAGAAAGTTAATTGCACAGTATCATATTCCCACAAACAGTAACCACAATAGCAATGTTGGAGTTATCAGTTCATTAGAATCGTAATATCAGTTGTTTTGCTTGTTGATATATTTGAAAAGTTTTTTCACATTACCTAATTCTTCCTCCATGGTGGGGCCTGCATTTTGAGAATTGGAAACTCCAAGTACCCTGTTAAATAATATGGAAAATGCACTCCCCCAGACACCTGAAAAGAAGAAAATAAAGAAATGAACAAATTGGAGACCAACACAGACCTACAATTATATAAATAATTATTTTCTGAAAATTCCCCTGAATAGCATAAACAATGGGATTATTAGACAGACTAGTGTCTAAATTTAAGTAGGTTCAGCTGTGACCATGTATCAAGTATTGGGCATCACTGAAAATAGAATCAAGGGGGGTACCATATTCCTATTAGGAATACAACCTTTATTGTAGAATTTTTTTTGTCAGACTCTTTGTAGTTCTAGAAATACCAACATCTAAAAGCACTAGACAGCAGAGTTATAGGACACCAAGATTTCATTTAGCATTTAATCACTGGTTTTCCATCACTCACCCATTAAGAAATGCAAAGGATTTTCTTTATATTTTTTCACCACTGTCCCCATAAAAAATTTACTTCCAAATGTATCAGGAGGCATGAATGTGCCATACTTTGCCATACCAATCTCATAAGGACTGAATTCCACCCAATCTGTACATGATAAAGAAGACAAGAAGTTAAAGTTTGCCCCCTAAAAAGAAATACAGACTGAATAAAGAAATTAATATGGAAACAAAAACAATTGGAACAATTCTCTGAAAGGAAATATTTTGGAAGACAGTCACTTTTTCAGATGGGAAAAAGTGATGGGGTGATTATTAAAAGAGTACAAACTAGTGGAGAGTAGATTCAGGTTAGACATTAGGAACAAATTTTTCACAGTAAGGGTGGCCAGAATCTGGAACGGGCTGCCAAGGGAGGTGGTACTGTCACCTAACTTGGAGGTCTTCAAGAGGAGGCTAGACAGACACCTGGCTGGGGTCGTATGACCTCAGCACTCTTTCCTGCCTGGGCAGAGGGTCAGACACGATGATCCTTCGTGGTCCCTTCTGACTCTACAATCTATGAATCTATGAACCTTTATTATAATCTCCCTGAAAATAGGGGCATGGTGACAAATGAGTACCAGTGAAATTGTTTATTTTAACATTCCCTAAAGCTCTGAAGAAATCCCAGGTAATGAAATCTGGATCCCCCCAAAAAAGCTAAGGCATGGAACAAACTATAAGATAAACAGGCAAAATAATATCAAGTGATGCATACATTTTAAATGTATGTGCAATTTTGTTTGTCTTTCTAAAGTTTACATGTAAAAAAATATTATGGACTGTATACAACACAATTAAGGTAAAGAGTAAAATTTTCAAAAGCAACTACATTTTCAGAAGCAACTAAATTACTTAAGCATCTAATCCCTATTTTCAAAAGCATCTTGTGCATTGATTCTCTTAAATTCCATTGACTTTCAATAAACAATGGGATGATTAGACAAACTAGTTCCTAAATTTAATTAGATTCAGCAGCAGCCATGTATCAAGGAATAGGCATCACTGAACATAGAATCAAAGTGGGTACAATTTTCCTATTAGGAATACAACTTTTACTGTAGTAATTGTTCTTGTCAGACTCTTTGTAGTTCTAGAAATAAGGCAGAGTTTGTTTAAATATTAAATGAAGGCACTTTTGAAAATACTACTTCATAGCCACCAGAAAGTCCTCTTATCCCAGATGCTAATTCTACAACAATGATTAGCAAAAGAAGCTATAACAATAACAACTGAAACAAAATTATGATGTCTTAGCTCCTACCTATTATTTTTAACAATAATTGACTTGAGGTGTTTTATAAAAATGAAAAAGGACAGATGAGAAACTAAAAGAAAAATCTGCTTGAAATATTCCAGGGAGTCATAAGATATCAAGCTTAATATCAGTTGCTGGTAAAATTCAAGAGTCTGGTTAAAATGAAAATGATACCTGTAACAGAGAGCAAGGGGCTCCTGTTACTTTAAAAGAGAAGCTGCAGCAGAGGTGTCCACAGTTGGTTAGAAAACAGGTGGTCCACCATGGGCTAGCTGCAGGGGAGTAGGCAGCCAGGGGGCCATAATACCTGCAAGTGCCTACTGCAGAGCTAGCAAAGGTGACTTGACAGTGGTGGGGACCCTGCTCTGCCCAGACTTGATCCAGAGGGGAAGTGTTTGATTTTGAAGCAATTGCTTGGATTTTTGTTCTAGTTTATACTGGAGGCTGGAGAGAGAGAAAACAAGGATGCAGGGGTGCCTAAGTGGTACACTATGTTCTGACCTCTGCCAGGGGAAGGATGCAAGACAGAAGCAGGCTAAGGCCAAGAAGGCCAGGGCCTGAACTTGAGAGTAGGCATCAGTGCAAGGTGGCTTGTGACTGAGAGGGCTGGGGCCTGATCCCAGAAGGGGCAACACAGGCAGCCTGAGGCTGACAAGAGGCTGGGATTGAAAGGCAATGCTAGTGTCAGTGGGTCTGGGCTACCAGTAGACAGCCAGAGTAACATGTAGGCTAAGGTTAAGAAGGCTAAGCCTATATAAGGAAGTAACTGGTGAGAATGACATCTGCGAAGCACGGATGTGTCTGTAGGGGCAGGAGGAGGCAACAAATAGCCCTTAAGATTACCAGTACCCTGAGACACTGATGAGGCCAAGGGGGTCCCTACTTAGGGTTTGAAAAACAGAACTGGGGATCAACTGGGTTCAAGAGAGACCCATTGGCCAAAGTAGGCTAGGGCTCACTCAGGGACCCGGGGAGAAAGTCTTTCTTCTATAACAGAAAATAATTCCATTAGGTATGACAAGCAAGAGGAAAGGCGGGGTGGGGGAAGGGGGAAGGGGGAAGGGTTACCCAAGAAGTATTTTTTTTACATGTATTGGGGTCTGAGGAAAGATACTTGTTGCTAGGTAATGTATTTTAGGACTTCAATCTTAATGGTGAACCTAGCTTTAGGAACAGAGCATCCAGAACACCAAGTAATTACATCCATGTGATATAGTCATGGTATCTTCAAAGAACATAATTTACTTATTCATAAGCACAGCCTAAGGAAATTAACCTGTAATTAAAGGACTCTGACTTCTAGTTTAGTCAACTGCCTAGTGGGAGACAGGTGCTTTCTGACTAGCAGGATAGGACTCAGACTGACATGAGGCAAACTTTGACCTGAGGGACAGAAGTTTTAGGCTAGGGACAGACTTAAGACATAAACCAGTTTAAGTGATCAGAAACTGGTTTAAACCTGTAACAGAACAGACATTCAATGCACATAAGCCAGTTTCAAATTGGCTGAAACCAGTTTGAGATAAACCTGGTTGAATGGAGGTGGTTAATTGATTTGGCTCAAACTAGTTTATACAATATTTGTCCCAGATCCCTTCCTGGTTTACTTAAACCAGAGTCCCCCAGCATGCTTTCTGGGCTTAGCACTCTGCTCCAACTCAGCAGGGTTGGCCCCACCCCCCTGCTCCCCAGCCAAATAGGGACAGGCAGGGGCAGGGGCCTGGCTAGAGAGGGGTTTAATTCCCCCCTCCCTGTCCCACTGACAGGGACCCGAGTCAGGTTTTCTGGGTGCCCCCGCTCCTCCACTGCTGCAGCCATGACCACCATGACCCCTGAGGCAGAGGGTTATTCTCCCCTCTACCCCAACTTCCCTGGGGGACCGCAGTCAGGTCTGCCCACCCTGGGCAAGCAGCGGAATAAGCCCCCTCCTGTCCCCTCAGATAGATGCTGGAGGGAGGGAGAATAACCCCCATCCATGCCCCACCAGGGGCCATGCCAGCTGGCATCTGACCACACCCCTGCTCCACCACTGCAGTGGGAGGGAGCAGGGTCCTTGATGGGGGCAGCAGCCCCTATCATAATGTCAGCAAGCACGAGCCCCTTCTCAGAAGAAGGGCCTGCTGTGGGGTGGGCAGAGCTGTGGCAGACTGCACACGGCAGCACCAGGGCCTGGAGGGGGCCAGAGCCCTCATAGCAGCCCCTAGTGCCGCAATCCATAGAAGTTTCCCCCCCACCCCTGCCAGAAAGGGGCTCGCACTCCAGGAAACCATGACAGGGGTTTCTGCTCCATCACAGTTGCTCCCCACTCGCCACTCCAGCAGCCTGACGGGGGAAGGGGGGAACAGATGCTGCAACCAGGGCCCCTTAAGCGGGGGGCAGGGAGCGGAGTTATTCCCCCCTCTGCCCCCTGGGCACTGCAGTGGGGTCTGCCCACCATGGCTGCTGCCACCACTTCCTCTGTGCCCTGGGCAAGCAGCAGAATAAGCCCCCTCCTGCCTCCCTTCTTCCAGCATCCAGCAGAGGGGGAATATTCTGCCATTTGCCCCAGGGACAGAGCGAGCTGCAGTGGAAGTCAAGGTGGGCAGACCCTGCTGCAGTGTGCCAGGGGCAGAGAGGGGAATAACCCCACTCCCTGCCCTCCCCAAGGGGCCCTGCCCCAGTGCAGCCACTGGAAGGGCAAGGGAGAACTGACAGCAATGGGGCAGGAGTCCCTTTCATGGTTTCCCAGCTCACAAGCCCCTTCCTGGTGGGAGGGCATGCACTGCAGGGTGGGGAAAGCTGCTATGGACCATGGCACTTGGTGGAGGGGGGGTTTGGAGGGCTCTGGCCTCCTCCAAGCCCCGGTACTGCCACGTGCAGTCCACCACAGTTCTGCGTGCCACAATGTGGCTCCCCTGCTGAGAAGGGGCTTGTGCTCCCTGACACTATATCCAGGAGCCTGTACCCTCCAGGTGCAGCAGCCAGGTGGGGGCACAGCCAGATGCCAGCTGGCAGCACCTGGGGGAGCAATAATGGAGTTATTCCTCTTCCCACCAGCATCTGGCAGAGTGGACAGCAGGGGGATTATTCCACCACTTGCCCCAAGTAGGGAGAAAATGTGGTGGTCTGGGCGGGCAGACCCATCTGCCGTCCCCAAGGGGATGCAAGGGTAGAGAGGAAAATAACCTCCTCCCTGCCCCCTCTGCCTCAGGGGCCATGGTGGCCGAACGCTGCAGGAGTGAGGGGTAAGCACCCAGCAGACCTGGCTCTGGTCCCTGCTGGTGGGACAGGGAGGTGGGAATAAAACCTCTCTCTGGCCAGTTCAGCCTAAACTGGCTGTGCCTCCCCTTCTCCCTGCAGCACAGCTTCCCTGAAGGCAAGGGCATGCTTTAGTGCCCTCTGGATCCTGGCCTGAGCAACTATAGGCATGTGCCCATGCTGCCTCAGTCCAGAGGGAATGTCTATGCTGTTACAAACCGATTCAAACTAGGCAGGTTAAACTAACCTGCAAAGGTTGAATCAATTCAGGCTCTGGCTTTTTGAATGTCTGTCCCTAGCCTTAATGGCCAATTGTATGCGCTTGGTGCAGTATTCTTTATTGTACTGAACAAAATGCTTGCAAGGAAATTAAGCTAAAATCTGTGGTTATTGTCAAAAACCATTCCATTCTGTTTTCTTATTACATAGAATAAATCCTGTTTAAGTAAACAATGGCTGGAAATAAAGTAATGATGTGTCTATTATAAAATAATGGTTTATGTCTGTTTGTAGAAGCACTGATTTTCAGACACTTTTATCAAAATAAGTTGGGTCAGAAGCTCAGCAGAGGCTTGATTCAAGTCCTTATGAAGTCATTGGAAGCTGACTTCAGTGTTTTGGGGGAGGAGGCCCTAATGCAGTGGTTCTCAACCTCTTTAGACTCAAGGCACCCCTCCGTAACTTCTGAGCAGGACCTTATTTCAAAAACCATTTCTTTATCATAGTATGTGCCTGCTTGAAGAGCGGTAAGGAAGGAAAGGAGCAGCTGGAAAGGAAGAGTCTGCCCTTATCTCCTTACCTGAGCCTGCTCTTATCTCACTTATCTGCTCTCTCCCCTTGGCAAACTTCAAAGGCTATCATGGCATCCCAGGATGCTATAGCACCCTAGTTAAGAATAACAACCCTAATGTAAGAATGCATAGCTTGATTACAGAATTATACTAAAAGAGGCAGGGCAGTGTGGCACTTTATAAACTAGTTGTTCTCTCAAGCCCTCTGCCTCTCCCAGCACTGCCCTCTCTCCTCCCTTCCCCACTTTCCCTGTTTTTGTATTTAAAGCACTCCCAGTTGAGAGCCTGATCTCTGGGTATCTTTTCATAGCTGTATGAAGTGAGCTGTTGCTTATGGAAGCTTATACATCTCTGATTCAGTTAGTCTATAAAGTGCAATTTCACCCTGCCTTCTTCCTGACTTCAAACTTACACAGTTAACTACCACTTTTTAATTAGTTTGCTGATGCAAAGGGAGGAAAGATCACTGAATGAGTCTGTCTTACATAAAGCATTTTGCAAAGACTGCAATTAAAAGCCTTGAGATGCCAAGTTCTACTTCTCCCTTCCCACAGTAGGTATGCCTATCAAGCTTCACTCCAGTAAATATTAAGGTATTTACTGCCCCCCCAAAAAAAGAAAGAAACTGCCTCTACCAAATGCTTCTTGAAATAAATCATATTAATTATGTTTAGTTAGTAACGATTACTACAGTTCTGGGCATGACCAGCACAATCAGGGTCAGATATGCTATGAATAGAATGAACATAAAGAGCCTTAAGCATGAAAACTATTAGCAGTCATATGAAATCTTGCACCATCACTTTTGAGAGGAATGTTATCTGATTAATGCACTTCAACAAGAAGCAACATGACAGGATTTATCCTTAACCTAATAAGTAAGCAAGTGGAAGTATTTTTGTTCAACATCTACTGTGCCTCAGGTCAAGACAAGTTGCTATATTTTAACAGGGAAAACAATCTTAGTACTCTAACAGGGGAAAAAAAGCTTATACGAATGAAAAGAATTAAAACCATATTAAGATCTTTGTTGATAAAGACAGAAATACTAAATAGATCACTGCTAATTAAAAAAATATACTTAAAAGGAGTGATGAACTTGCTTGTAAAATACTCAATATGAATTCCAGATTAGAAATTGTCAAAAAATGAGATATTTTTGTCTGAAAATTTCAGTTTGTTACCTGAGAAACAAAATATTTTCATTTTTCTACTGAAAACTTTCAGGTTTTCAAGAAGTCAAACATGTTGAGGAAAGCAGATATTTCATTTTCATTTAGCTGAAACACTAGTTTTCTATCAAAAAATTATTGACAGAAAACCATTCAGCCATCCCTACTCATAAGATCTGGGTTCAATACCTGGCTCTGCCAGAGTTTCTGCTATTTAATCCCTATTGACATTTATGCACATACTCCGGGAGTTTGGGGGGAGTGCTTTAATTAGAGTGGCTCTGCATTCACATTTCATTCTTTGAGTACCTGGCATTTTTTTTATCACATAAGAAACATATTTTTCACAGAAAAAAACAGCATGATAAAGCTTTCAATTATCATTCCATTGAAAAGAGAAACTCAAAAATCCTAACAAACTCTACCAAGCAAAAAGCAGACAAAATTCAATTTAAAATTTACAGTAAATGATCTTAGTGCACACTAAAACTAATCTTGATTAACTTAAAGTATGGCTTGTTAGTCTTCAGCAAGATGACAGAACACAAAGAAACTACAGGCTAAATTTGATTTCTCTTTACCATACCTAAATGGCATGTATACAATAGCAGGTTTTGGCACTTCCACAACAAAGCCTGTAATTCAGTCTTGTTTTCTTAGTCTACTACAGGGTCAGTAGGGTTACACTCAAGCTGTGAAAGGCAGGAACTTGCCCAGTGCTGTCTAGCCAACAAATATTACACGCAGGGTCCAGTACAGTGGGCAAGTTTCAAGAGGAGAGCTGCAGAGGGATCTGGGTACAAGATTTAAACTATAACTTATACTGGGTTTCTCTCGTCTCCCTTCCACACATATGACAACTCCGTTTTTGACTGAAAATCTGATCACATTAAGTCCAGCTTGTATAAAGTTAACATAATTAAAATGTAATCGCTGCTTATTATTAAAACAACCTGCTTTGTAATCATTGTAATTCGGCCAGTAGTTCCAGACCTAAATCCTTAGGGTATAAATGTTCTCAAAAAACACTAAGAAAAAAATACACTTTTTTAATAGAAAAAAAGAAACACCCCACAAACAAAATAATTCAACAGAATGAATGAAAAAATACCTGCAAACATGAGCTCTGAAACATCCGGTTTGACATGAAGACATGTAAAGAGGGGCAGAGCACACTGAGCACTGTTGATTTTCTCTTTCATTTTGCTCAAGGTGGTATCCATTCGCTGCATAAAGAAAGATAGGGCACATCAAAAAGAAAAATTCAACTAATCCACAGATGCATAACTATGAAAACACAGATAACCTGTATCAAAGTCACAAATCTGCACGCCAGCTACCTCGCTGATAATAAAAATTGTAGCTGCCTAAAACCTGGAGAATCTAGCTCGTGCTCATTGAATTATTTGCTGTACCTGAGATTCAGGAGGACTTTAGTGCCATCATTGGGAGTATTTTGAGAATTTAACTTGAGACTGATAATATAAAGTCAGTGTGTCACACAATCGTGGGCAGGACAGCAGTGTTCATGGATGGTGGTGGTTCCTGTTTTCCATTTTTATTTCATAGTTTTATAGTTTCTAGGGTCGGAAGGGACCTGAGCAGATCATCTAGTCCAACCCCCTGCCATGGCAGGAAAGAGTACTGGGGTCAAACAACCCCAGCAAGGTGTTCATCTAACCTCCTCTTAAAAACCCCCAGGGTAGGAGTCTGCACCACCTCTCTTGGAAGTTGGCTCCAGACCCTAGCTGTCCTGACCGTGAAGTAGCGCCTCCTGATATCTAACCTAAACCTACCCTCTGCCAGCTTGTGACCGTTATTCCTGGTCACTCCCGGCGGTGCTCGGGGGAACAGCGACTCCCCCAATGCCTGCTGATCCCCCCTGACTAGTTTATAACAGGCCACAAGATCCCCCCTCAGCCTTCTCTTTTGGAGGCTGAACAGGTTCAGGTCCCGTAGCCTCTCCTCATAGGGCCTGCCCTGCTGTCCCCTGATCATGCGAGTGGCC